ATAATTTTCACTATTTTTTTTTTAATTTTGTGCGGTGTTCCACTTTCACGAATGATTTTCTTTCATCAATATTATTCTTTTTTGTCGAGAAAAATTCCGATACATAACTGATAAATTAAAATACATTTTGATAACTTTTTCAGATATGTTTAAATTTATTATCTTTTAAATGTTTAACTTATTGATCAAATAAATAATATATATAATATATAAATAATATATTTTCTCTTTCTTCCTCTTTTTTTCTTTTTAAGTATTTGCGTATTTGCGTATTTCGTCTGTCACCTACAATTTTAAAAACTGAAATTATTGGTAATATTAAATTTTAATTTTGTCCTTGCAGTGATAAAGGACGGAGAGTTAATTAAATCTTGCTCGCGCATTTAACGATCTTATTCCCTTTTCCGATTATTGCCGCTGCGGGTTTCAACCTTCATCACGACCGTGTATCCCTCATATTCTTGCATATTCTTCATTGTTAATCCGTACAGCTAATCGAATTTACCGTCGCGCAAATCAATTGCACGTCCGCCCCGTATCTAATCTAGTCGCAGGACGTCGTGTAACCGTATATATTTCATAATTGCTTCTACGAGACACCGGATACCCAGTGCGAACCTCCACTTTGCTTCCCCTTTCGGCTAGTTTCAAGTTTCCCTCGCGGCACATAAATTGAGGAAACGCATCGGTACGAGTTCAATTTCGCTTCTTAATCCGTCGAGCTAATCGAGTCTATGTCGCGCCTAAGTCCCATGTAAACTTCTATCGCCTCACGGTTGGCGGAATGAGAAGTGGAAGAGGGGAAACACGAGAGAATACCAAAGTATACGCGAATCCCAGAGAAGTCCGACTAGATCGCGAACGGCCATGGCGTCGGCATCGCGGCGCCTTGGAAACGAGGGGGTTTAATCAAACTTCGTAGATTTTCCATTATGCCCGCGACTTTGCGCCTGAAGCGGCATAACTAATTCCATTTAACCCTGGTTGTACGGTAGAGCGGGTTGGACGGGCTTAGGTGGTAATGTAGAGGTAAATCACGCCGCCGTGACGTCGCTGTCAGGATCGGATATCAGCAGCTATATTAATTCTTCTATATTTTCTCTGTAGTTTCTTGCAACTTGTTAGAAAGCTTACGCGTGTATCAAGAAAATTATGTAAAAACATGAAGGTGCTATCGAGAATAAATAATAGATAATTGAAATTTTTTGAAAAACAATATAAGAATTGTTTTTGACGTCTAAATAAATGTTTAATGAAATTTTCTTTTATATCATACAATGAAATTTTATAAGTAATTATAATAGCTGAAAGCTAAGGACTGATTATTTTCTCTGACCAATTTTACATTTATTCTGATGTAAAGTAGTTATGCTCCTGACATAATGTTTAATATATAGCGCGATATTTGTTCGAATTTTACATTAAAAAATGACTTTTTGTCTTGATATAATTAAAAAGCAAAGTTATAATAAATGTATCAGGTCTTTAGGGAAATACTTCTGCAAATTGTTTCTATTTTAGAACATTAACACAGATTAATGTTGTCTCATTCAGTTATAATTAAATTAACTTATCGCGAATTTCAATTTTCCAGGAGGACAAGGATCTGGTACACGAGTTTGTACAAAATGATGGACTCGCCTGCCTGATCAAAGTCAGCAGCGAAGCCGACCAGAATTACCAAAATTACATTTTACGAGGTAAATATTTTATTCATTTATTTTAAAATTGAAAGTATTTACGTCCCTAATGCTTATCTCCAACTTAATACAATTTAAATCTTTTTTCATCATTTTAAATCATTTCTTTATAATATTATTATCAATAAAATATTTATTTTCTTAAAACGAATTTAGATTTTTCTACAAACATAATATTATATAAAATAATATTTTCAAAAACAGTGATTTTTGATAAAAGATATTTTAAAACTTTTAAAATTAAAAACTTTGTAGATTAAACGTATAAATAATTTTTTTTTAAATATGTGTAATAATATAATCTTTTCTACATAAAAGAAATGTGTAATATGAAGAAATATATAATATGACTCATATCCACTTTTTTCTAAAAATTATTATTCAAGAATTATGATAAACAGTCCGGTTTTTCCTTCTTCGTTTATTAATTACGTTTATTATCTCTATGAAAATCCGCAATTAATTTTTATAACCTGTAATAAATACTATTGTTGTGGTGTACCGCTAACGAGATTCAATAATAATATCAGATGATAATTATTCTATAACTTCCGCAATAATAGCAGTCGGTGCATCCAATTAGACGGCGGGAAAGTCGTATCGTAAGCGAACTCGCAAATTGAGTTAAGAGAATGATGCGACCTTGCAGGGTACATGCACATCGAGATTTCATAGTAGACACTACGCTCTCTATGGACGCTCTCTATACGCTCCCACTTTGCCGCAAGTAACGATAAGATAATACCAGCGTAATGCAGCTAATGTTTAACGAGCTAAACATCAACATCCTCATCTTTGCTTTTCCAAGAAGTACATGGCGACGATGATATTACCGTCTAAAAGTACAGCGAGAGAGAAGGTGACACCAAGTGTTAACGTGCCGCGTTTACGAAAGCGTCAACACGTGGAAGCCACGGTGGCTTGCAGTTACTCGTCAAACCGCGATGCGTCGCGAATTATGAATGGCGTTCTTTGATCGTGCCTTTTGACTGCGGTATCTTGGAATCGTGTTCAAGTACTTTGTAAACCACCAGCTTATACGCAAGTGAGCACGCTAATTTCATGTTGTAATCTTATAATGCATTCGTTGCATTTATCTCTGTATTATGGTAGAGGGAGCTGAAACGAATCGAGAACTTATAATGAAGAAATAGAAAGTTATATCAAAAGCAAAGATCGATTTTAGTATCGCAAATTTTGAAAAGTAATTACGACATTTTAAAATAAAATTAATGGATTTATTTTATTCGTATTTAGACATTAACAATTTTTCCTTATTATATTATTTATATATGTATTATGCAACTCCCTATTATTAAGTTCTTATGCAATTTTTTTCTTCATATTACAGTTTACAGAAGTTGTTTAGATTAATATTTACAATTCAATTTTTTATCAATTTTTATTATAAATAGTTATATAGTCTCATCGTGAATAGATACTTCATAATTTGTTGCTATATTACAAAAATGGTACCAAGCACGTATGTTGCATTTTGCAATCCATTATTTAAATATTGCAAAATCTGTTCCAATATATTACTATCTGATACTTTGATTACATGTCGCGCGATTTATATAAGTAGGCTTTATATATTTAGGCTTTTAATTAGATTTCGCATCATAACTTACAGCCTAATATAATAGTAACGTTTATCGTTTAAATCGGTGGAACGTGCTTTATGAACATGGCTGGCATACATCGCTAGTACAAAGCATGCGATCGCGCGAATACCAAAACTTTGATTATAGGGAATCAATATACGTAAACAGTCATTTTCATCGAGTTAAAAACCTTGTTTAATTGCATTATACAACTTCCAAATTTACATAGGTTAAATATTGATTGTATAACACATATTTGTACAGGAGTAAAAATTGCTAACTTTCTATTATTCAATATTATTTCTTTCTTATTATTTTATGTGTAACATGATTTTAACGAAAATTAAACATTGTTAACATTCTCGCAAGCAAGATCGGTTCAGTCGAATTAGTAAATATAAATTAATTCCTGAAAACTCCTTAATGATACAAATAGTTGGATACAACAGGGCAATAGGAACTAAGCACAATAATTCTTGTGCAAATTAAACGGTTAACAAAACTTTATTAATAATTAATTCCGCTTACATGTTTCGGCTCACTTTTGAGTCATCCTCAGAGACAATATGATGTTGTAATTACAAAAAAAAATTTTTTTTTCTTATAAACTAATTCATTTCCAATCATTTTTCAATCGAATTAGATTTTGTATAGTTTGTCGCGATAATAACTTATATATTTGGTTTGACAAGCACTCACTAATTGACATTACAATTTAATGTAACCATCTGATATTTGATTTGCGCAATGCATAAGTGATCTGGATTTTTGAGCGCATTTTATTTTCAAGCTGCCCATGTATAACTATTATTCGAGCAGGGAAGGAATTCTAATTTTTTTTTCATTGTTTCTAATTAATCTTGGAAGCGGTTTCTACCCGCGGTGCATGAATGCTTGCAACAGCTTTCTTCTATACTTTTTCGCACATTTTACATGCCAAGCGCGCCGTAATTTATTTAGAGCACAGTGTAGAACGGCTTTCGGTGAAATATGCGATAACATGTAAGCGCAAATATATTTTTGACCATAATATAGGATAAAATCTGAGTAAACCTAAAATCCGAACGCGATCGGTGTAATTTGCCTGTTAAATTTCAATCATGCCTGCCTATGTTCGTAGCCCGAGTATGAGCCGGAAATCAGTTTCGTAAACAACGAAACGCATGGTGTAAAAAATAAGTAACGTCATTTTGGATTAAGCCTCGAGATTGAAATAGGTTTCGAGGTTTCGCATCGGTTGCAATGACAGTTGTATTTTTATTTTTCGTTTCATATCTACATCGGCCGAGGTTGTCATTCTGACGTTTCCGTTATATTTTTCCGATAAAAATAGCGAGATGCCACAGTGCAAATTAAGAGGCAAGATTAATGGTTTTTTTATATATATATGTAGTATCAAGAGAGATTCAAAACCCCAGACAAAAAAGTGTCTATTAATACGGAAAATATTTAACGTTATTGGAAACAGTATTTTAAAAATATTTTACGATATCATAAAGGGCAGTTTGCATAAAAATTTCTACCTCCGTTAACTTTCTAAAGTAGATGTTTAAACCGTATTTTAAAATATTAAATTTTTTACTCCTCTTTTTCGATGTCTCGAGAATCTTTTGAGCCTTAATATTGTTTGAGCTGCCATAAAATCCACTAAAAAGGTACATTTATGAACAACGGTTAAAGGCTCTTTATACGCGATTGTCTAGAACAATTTCGCCCTCCGTTTAATCTCGCAACTCGTTTGCATTCATGCAGCACTCGGCCAGGTAATGCTGTATGTCGACGGTATGAACGGGGTGATGGAACATGGGCAGACAGTGGAATGGTTATATACGTTAATTGCTAGTCGTTTTCGGCTGGTGGTCAAGACGGCATTGAAACTACTGCTCGTGTTTGTGGAATACGTGGAAACAAACAGTCTGCTATTGGTCAGAGCTGTAAGAGCAGTCGATCAAGCTAGGGGCGTGGTACCGTGGATTAACGTAATGAAACTCCTGAAGGATTATGATGCTGCCGACACAGAGTTGCTTATATATGCAACAACTTTGATCAACAAGTGTTTGAACGGTATCCCCGATCAAGACACGTACTACGATCAAGTGGACTGCCTGGAGGAACAGGGTATGGAGGGCGTTATCCAGAGGTACATGTCAAAACAGGGCACAGATCTCGACTTGCTCAGGCAGTTTCAGATTTACGAAGCGGTACTGCATCACGAAGATGGAGACAGAGGCTCGCCTATACGCCAATTGGACGACAATATAAGGTAGATGATATTACAATTTAACGTTGTGCGTAATACGATTTAATAAGATTCCTTTTCTTTGATTTGTATTCAAATTAATTAATGTCTTTAAAGATCTTTAGAATATTTGAATAAAAATATGTAATTTAGAAGAAAAATGAAAAATCTTATGCAAATATTTAGAGAAACACACACACACACACACACACACACACACACACACACACATTTCGTTTCATCTTATAATAATTGTATAATAATTCGGTTAAGATATTTCTAATCTTATATTTCTTTCTTTGACTGCGTAGAAAAACTTTACGAAACCGAAAGTCTCTAGTGGATTCTCACGAAAGGCGAAAGTCTCGAAGGCATTCCACAGGTAATTCACCCCTGTCAATGTCTCTGAATCCACGGCTGAGCCCACGACTGAATCATACTCTGGGTGTGAGTACGCTGAATAACACTTTGAATTCGAACCTACCAGATGATGACGACGAATCAAGTAGTTCTCAAAGTTCTCAGGGTCATCTAGGTGAAGTTCAGCTCAATGGTAGTTACAAAGAGAATAAAGGTAATCATTTCTTTCTTTTTTTCGATAATTGAGTTTTTAATTTAAATCAATTATGTGTTTATACCAGAAAGAAAAGTTTTATACGCGATGGAAAAAAAGTCTAACTTATATTTTGAGAAAATTTGCTCATCTTTAATCTGTAATAAATTTAATTTGTATATAAAACGCGTTAAGATATATGTAAGTGATTCGCTTTAATGGAGAAAATATTATTTCGTGTTTTAGTGGATGTTGGTGTTACACCAGCGCTGAGACGACGAAGAGAACGCGCGGAGAGACAGAGGAGCTTCATTAGAGAGCAACAAGAGGCTACTGCAAACCTGAGAGCTTCGCTTGGTCATACCGATGATCAGGAAAGTGAGTACTTAAAGTTCACTTAAAATGCTCTACATGAATATTTTTTTATTATTCTTAAACCTAATTTATTTTATTTCCAAATAAATCTCCGATTATCACTAATAAAATTATCACTAATGCGATTCACATTTTTATAAAAGAAAAATCTTATTATCGTTTAATTTTATAATTTGTATATTTATTTAGAAATGAATAGACTAAAACTATGTATGTATGTGTGTTAGAAAGTATATATACATACAATTTTTTACAAAATATATCCATTTTGTGAAGTAGGTGGATTTAATAAAATAAATTTTTTAATTTCTTACCATATACATTTTTTTTTAACAATTTGCATCTCTGGAAGATATTCTATCGTTACAATAAATATTTTTAATCTTTTGCTGTTAAAGGTCAGTTCGCAACAAACAATCTACGATATACAAACGGTATCTCTTATGAGAGGAACGCTGATTCTCCTTCGAACAAGTTGTCAAGAACGAACAGCAGAAAAGACTTGACGCCCTTGATGAATGCCGCGAACAAGCTCGACTCGGAGGAGAAGAAACCATGGTACGGCAAAAGTCCCAACGAAGGTGTCGAGTACAACGAGAGTAATCACACCGACGAAGACGAAGATCGTCGAGTGGTTCTCCAGCTTAAGAGGGAAGGAACTGTCAAGGATCTCACTCAGAAGTTGGCAGCACAGAATCTTATACCTAGCAGCCCTGTGGAGGAGAAAGTTTCCAGGTAATTTCGGGAAAGGCGCTGCCTTTACTTCAAATGCATGCTACTCAATTGATTTATCCTCTTGTATCTTATTTCTATATTTGTATTTGCGAAATTTCAGAATACAAAATTTTTATTAAACAGATATTATAAGAATATAGAAAAGTCTTAAAGTTTATTAAATTCTGAAAAAGTGTTTGCTAATTTATATCAATATTTTTAAACATTGGAAATTCTGTTGTCTTTGGAAACTAAAAATAACAACTATAAAATACTGTCAATTTTCACTTATTATTGTTTACAAAATATTAACTTGCTGTATATAACAGCTTGTTCCTTGTAACTATTTTTCTCGGTTAATTTAATCTGCATTTTACTAAAGTCAAATATGAAATGTAATGTGTCTGAACGCAAAAATCAGTTTAATGTTTATTACAAATAAAAGTGGAAAGTAGCATATAAGAATAGCGCGAGATATTGACAACAATGATACTAGAAAGCTGGAAAAGTCGTATGAACTTTGTACCTTAGTCGGAAATTCTACCGAGATTAATTTTACACGGGATACTGCAAGAGTACAACGTTTCATATAAAAGTTACTTCTTCGTCGGATACGAAACTTTCTACAGATCGAAAGAAACCTTATCTTTTGTATTTTGTCATCAGATAATCTTTAAAAATATATTAACTAGATGGTTGATAAATAATATTACTATAAAATGAACGTTATTTTAAATATTATAATGTGATATTGATAAATTAAATTATCAGGAAGACAAACTTTATTGGAACTTTATTGGCTTTCGAAATAATCAAATTATATAATGATACATATACTGTACATACATTTAATTGAAATAATTCTAATTTTTGGTATTATAAATGCATAAAAGTTTATATTGTCAAAACTATCAAAATTAAATGTAGAGATTATTCTGTGTTTAACAAAATTTAAAGCTGCAGTAATTATATTACATTGAGTTTAATTCTTGTACATAACAATTAAATAACATAATTAAAGTAATTCAGAAATTCAATATTGGAAAATAATATGATAATTAAATCGATAACCACATGTGTCATTAATGTGTATGAGTGTGTTTTATTTGATTTTAATAGCTTATCTAAATGTAAATGTTCGTTTCTTGTTTATTATTTTTTATTCTGTAAAATATACTATTGTAATTAGTAATTGCTATATAAAATATATAATTTGGATTTTTATGCATGTTTTTAGGATAGGAGATATGAGTGGATTGATCTCGAAAGCAAAAGAAGGTCTAGCGAAGTCGAAGTCAAAAGCGGACGTACTAAAGTCGCCAACCAGCGATAATTTGCCGAAACTGCAGGAAACGAAGAAATCAGAGAATGAATTGCACTGGGAAGAACTTGTAAAAAAACTGAAGAGACCATTGGCACTTTGCGACTTGGATTTCACTGATCTAAATTCCGAAGATGAGATCGATGTGTTGGGATCTGCTAATGTGACGAATGGAATGCCACCACCGCCACCACCGATGGCACCTCCAAATGGAGATGTTTCGGCACCTCCGCCACCGCCATTGGGGGCGAGATTGCCACCGCCCCTTCCTCAGGGTCCTCCGCTGCCATTCGGTATCAGTTTGAAGATGTCGAGGCCACCGTTACTAACTAACGAAACCAGTAACACGCCAAAGAATCCGCCATCGTTACTCGCGAAGAAGAGCAAGAAGACGGTGAAGCTGTTCTGGAAGGAAGTACGAGACGATCCCAACATTCTTGCACGACTCGACAAACACAAGATGATCTGGGACGAACTAACACCTGTGGCCGTCGACACACAAAAGCTCGAACATCTTTTCGAGAGTCGCGCTAAGGATCTTATCACTAAGGTGAGTGGTCTCATGTATGATTTCTTTCACGCAGATCGTGTTGTTTTCATTATACAAATGCAACAAACCGCGAATTTCACCGTTTCGAAGGGACGATTGAAGAGAACAACATAAGAGCAATGCTCGTTTAAACGAGATCTACCGTCGACTACCTTTCGCAGTGTACATTGTAATTTTATACGATATTCTTCAAAATTTTTAACGAGGTAAAGATAGAAGTTATAAAAAGATAGAAGAATATTTTGCTATGTTATTTATTTAATTTTATTTGATGTGTCTTCTTTAAATGAACTTTACTTATCGTCAAGATAGTAATGATTATTATGGCTGGTTACACTAACAATAAGTTACATTTGAAAAAATTCTTGAAGGCAGATTAATAATGATTTTTAATGGTGCATTAAAAAATTATAATTATAATTTTCAATTCATTTTTATTTAGTAATTCGTATTGATTTGCTTGTAGTAATAGTTGTTTTGTGATTCGTTAATTTTGTAACAATATGAGAAGTGAATATCCGAATTTTATTTATGCAAGATTGTTACAACGACTTTTTCATGGAACTAAAATTCCAATACACAAAGCATATACCCATATAATCTTGTGTACATACACGCCTCTGTTGATCTAGCAAGTTAGGGTTGCAACGTTTAAAGGGGATAACATCTTTCTATCGCGACTGCTTGATTACTTTTAATAGAAATACTCAAAAATATTAGGAAAAAATTATCATTTATTTATAATTAATAATACGTAATTGTAAATTGACATAATTATAAAGTGGCAAAAAGAAAATTTTTTATTTTTTTTCATTGGTCGAAGTGTAAAACAATTACATTCAATTTTCCAATTGCAATTATTTTAAAAAAGAAAATATTATATTATTATTTCTTTTAATATTTTAAAAACAATAATTAGAAATTCAGAACAAGACTAATGAGAGTTTAACGCTGTTGTAAGAGCGAAGAATTAGGAGATGAAGATAATATTCAGATGTTAGCAGTAATCTTCATTGTATCGAACGTTTCGGCTCACTTTGGAGTCATCTTCAGCGAAAAAGTAGAAATATAATACATCGTTGAAAGTAAGTCACTTGCAGATTGACAGAAATGCAGTAATCAATACGCTCAATGGGAAACAAAGAAGTTCATAAACATTGATTCACAATTTTCATAAGATACAAATTAAAGCAAGTCGTTTCTCAGATTAATATTGTGTCAGTTCATCTTGACACATCGTTTGAAATCGACAATTTCACGACTTTAATTTATATCTTATGAAAATTGTGAATCAATGTTTGTGAACTTCTTTGTTTCTCGTTGAGCGTATTGATTACTGCATTTCTATCAATTTGATTTTAATTAAATTGATTTTAATTAAAGTAAAATGATTTACTTTCAACGATATATTATATTTCTACTTTTTCGCTGAAGATGATTCCAAAGTGAGCCGAAACATTCAATACAATTAATGAAGATAATCGCCAACACCTATTAGTATTATTATCTTCATCTCCTAACTCTTCGCTCTTACATCAGCGTTAAACTCTCATTAGCCTTCTGAATTTTAAAATAATATTAAATATTAATTAATATTAAAAGTATAATATAAAATATAAAAAATATTTTATATTACATAAATATATAAATATATAAATAAACTCTCAATCTTAAAAACAATAATTAGGTTTTTAAGATTGAAAGTCTTTATTTATAGATATATGTAATTGTTTTTATATTTTATATTATACTTTTAATATTAATTAATATTTAATATTATTTTGAGTTACCAAAGATAAAGTATAAATATTATATTGTAGTACGTTAATCAATTTCTACAAATGTGTGACCGAATTAATAAAATCTTGCTAATTTTATTAATTTATTTGATCTGAAATATATCTATAATTTAATAATTATTTTTTTATTAGATGAAACTAATAGTATATTAATTAACTATTTTCTGATTCTGCTTCTTTTTACATTAATCTTTTTGAATTTATCCCTTTTTTAATGCTTTACAAATATAAATAGCTTTTGGAATGGACTTAAAAATAAATAAGATATAAAATATCATAACATTAAAATATATTTAAAGATCTTGCGTTTCGCGGGTTTTCTCCGTGTCTAAATCCATTCTTGGAATGCAACGTTTCGTGAAATGTTGCTGCTCCTCACCCTGATGAAGTGAACTGCAAGGTTCACGAAACGTTGACATTCCAAGAATGAATCTGGACACGGAGAAAACTCACGAAACTCATAATCTTTATATAGAAAGCACCCGTGGAAGTCTCAAGAATATTAAAATATATTGTACGTATTTAACTTAACTACTACGTAATTAACTTTTATAAAGTTTTTCTATCTTTCTCTTATAATTAAATTTATATAATTTAAAAAATAAACAAAATTTAATCTTGTTATATGTATATAAGTTTTTGGTTTATGACTTTAATTTATGATTTCTTTTGAATACATTTTCTAAAACTACAATATATGATCATTCATAGCAATTTTACATCTGATGAGAAAATATAAGTTAGAGAGAAAATATTGTAAAATATAAGAGAAAATATATATGATGACGTATACTGCTGATTATTCTATCACACATAGATAAAATATAGTCACTATATGTATAATTTACAAAACGATTTTGCACATAAACATACACATACGCGCGCGCACGTGTCAGAAAACTATAAAAATTTTTTACTAGCATTGTACCAAAGCATTGCAATCGAGTAGAGAATATCGTCATTAATTACCGCAGTAATTACACAGCGCGGTATATTGGTTTCCTCTCACCTGTGTATTTCACGTCTGTGCGCAACTAAATCGCAGCAAGAGATATTGCACAGTAGAGAGACTGCAACTGGGTTGCACGTATTTTTCGAGCGTTACTGAAAGCTGCCGCATTATTTCTCCGTTCCAGTTGTTTCCGACACAAGCTCTTTCTCACCCTTTGAATTCGCTTAGCACACCGATAATTACAGTCAACCTACGCCTATAAAAAATAACGAAAAAGTAGCCGCGTGCCAAAGAATTATAAATCTTTAGCAATGAAACAAGGATAAACGGAGCAAAATTATAAAAGGAAAATTTGCCTTCGACGCAAATGATATTGTGCACAGTTGCACTTGATTTTGTAATATCGTAAATTAGGATTATATAAAGCCGCATGTTCCGAATATAATAGAAAAAAAGTCAGACAAATGCTACACAAACTGTATCATAAGGAATTGTACAGAAAACTTGATGAGATCAATTTAAGTAAGAAATGATATAATAGTAACAATAAAAACTTTAATTTGTCATATTTACTTATAGAAAAGGCGAAATTAATTTTTTCGTGATAATGGAAAATAAATATTTTTAAATATCAAATTAAGAATTTATGACACATTATTTCGAATTTAATTAAATTTGTTATATTTCATCTCAAGGATTTTTATTGTATTTTTACTTTTATTTCTAATTACTAATTTTTTCTTGAGAAAATAAGGATTTTTCATAAATTTTAAAAATTAATTTTTTTACATTATATTGAAATTCGATATATAATTTATTTCATACAAAGATATTAAGATTAGATATCAATGTTCATTAAAATTAAATCGATATCTTGATTTATAAATAATAAGCTATGTTATTCAAACCATTTTATGATTCTTATTTTGTACATATAACTTGTATACGAATTTTATTATGATTTTATGTCTTTAATATTATTTTCATATGAACAAGTTAAATGACATTTATGTTTTTATATCTTTCTCCTTATATAAAAATAGTAGGTATCAAAATTGATAAAATTTTATTAACGTTTATAGAATAGTATATGATAGACATATATCTCTTCTATTCTATTACATAGAAGAATATGAAATAAGAGACTTACTTTAAAGTAAAGTTTAATTCTTATTAACTTTCACTTAGTTTTATGTTCGGCCACATATGTATATCGAATAAGCGCTGTATAACGTCGGCTAATTTAATAACGTAGTTAACCGTATCATGTGAGGATAACGGTTATGATAACGATCATGAATAACGATTATAGCGGTTGGATAGTAGTAAGGGTGATAGTAATGGTGGTTTACTGAAATACGACTAATTATCTTCTTGTATTCTTGGCAATGTTGTTGGTGCTCGCACGAAAAAATATGAACGAAATGGCATGCTGGAATTTTACAGGAGGTGAGTCTTAATTCTTTAACTTTCGGAGTTGTTTTAGTGATCGTTAATATAAATGCATGCGTTCTAAATGCGTTCATTTACAAATACTGGTCCGATCGATTTCATGCTGACACTGATGCACTAATTGATAAAAATTTTGCTGAAGGTATTTCTTTCTTCAAGAAGACTGCTTCATATACTTTGTAAATCGCTGTTGTAAGCTCTCTTACTGTTGTTATTTTACTGTACTGTGCTGGAATTTTTTGACTATAATTGATCAATTTATTAAGGATCATTAATAAAGAATGTTTCTTCTAATGTTGTTATGACAATACCTATAATTAATAATTACAATCTTTTGCTTTTATTTCATTATATTGACTTTAATAGCAGATAAATTATTTTGTCAGTGACTAAAACGAATTTTACATTATCTATATTGTTTTAAAAATCTAATAAAAGTTTTTATTTCGTATTTTTTTTATTCTTAAATGATTTTTATTAAACTGATTTATAATTTAATAGATTAAATAAATGTACAACTGGCAAAATAACAAATTCCAAATTTTAATATCTACTTCGCTCAATATAAATTTAAAAAATTTTAAAAATATAAAACGTTTTATTTTTCAATATACTTTTATTTGAGATATTATTTTAAATTACCTGCTTTATACAATATGTATAATACGTTATAACATATTAGTATTATAATACACTTTTTAATTTTTATTTTTATTTGTATTTATTCTACCTAAACCATAAACGTTTGCATAATTTATTTGTATTGGACATTATGCACATATATTTTTTTAAAATAAATGAGTGTAAGCTTATAAAGGATAATTTTATGATTTTATCATGTGACATTTATTACGTCTATTGCAAAGTATTTGGAGAACTGTTATCTATAGCGAGATAATTTCGAGGAACATTCAACGTCGTCCGTATATGTATATATCTCCACTTGCAATCAAAAGAGGAGAATGGCTTTATTCCATTTTAGTGGTGTATTTTCAATATATCCTGACGCTACGTTTTCATCTGTGTAACGTTCGAATGTTTGGTAGTTTTTGATGTGTTTTTATGTGTTTTTATACCGGAGTATTTTTGTTGCACGGTAAAAGGTACTAATCGTTCCGCAATAACTCCAAGTGCTATAGAGTAATAATGAAGAAAACATCGAAGTTATATCACGCGTGTTTCAAATGTTTTGATATAATCGAAATTTTTTTATTTGTTGTTGGCAAACAGAAACAGCAGGAGATGAACAAGAACAAGGAAATTATTGTGCTAAATCATAAAAGATCAAACGCCATTAACATTGGTATGACAAAACTGCCACCGCCAAGGTCCATCAAGACTGCGATTTTGAAAATGGATGCTACAATCATGAATAGAGAGGGTATCGAGGTAAGAATATAGCTGTTTTATTTTTTATTTTTTTCAATTTCTATTTCTTACAGCATTCAAAAACTGCTAAAAAATTAGGAAATATTTCTTATATTTTTACATGCAATGCAGATTTTGGAAAGAAAAACGCGAATGTATACAATGTATTTTGACAGTTTTTAATATTTTTTGAATTAAGTGAAAATTATTCAAAAATTCTTCCAGATTAATTGTTATTATTTTTCACTCTTTATTCATTTAAATTGTATGTCTATTTAAATTATATTTTTAATTGATTTTTCAACTTTTGCATGAATTATGTCGATGCTGCTTTAATTTACTGGCTAATAGAAAGCTTTGAAAAATTTTAACTTTCTGTTGATGATCAATCCTAAAATTTAGTTCAAATACACTTATGTATTCTAGTTTCGAGTTTATTCTAATTTTTCTAATTTTGAATTGACTTCTTTTTTTCATTTATTTTCCTCTTTGTTCCAAAATTCTCTCAATAGAAACTGCTAACGATGCTACCTACTAAGGAAGAAAAATCCAGGATACAAGAGGCACAGGCTGCCAATCCTGACCTTCCCTTAGGATCGGCCGAACAGTTCCTTCTAACTTTGACCTCCATTTCGGAATTGCCAGCAAGACTAAAGCTGTGGGCATTCAAGCTAGACTTCGAAAATTCCGAGAAAGTAAGTCTTAATATTATATTATTATGTATTTCTTAGTGAACATACTATTTAACAGTAAACTTTTTAAATTTTTGTTTTTTAATTGTTGGTTTTGTACATAAAAACTATTTGCAAAAAAATAGGAGAATTTACTACTCTAATGTCGATAATTTAGCGTTTTTTTAAGGAAAATGTAATTAAGGAAATTTTAATTTGATTACATCTTAATTAATAATATTACATAATAAAAAATGTCAACTTATTAATAGAGATAGTATTTATAATTTCAACTTTTTTTAGAAGATAACATAAATTTTTTCTTTTATTTTTTTCTAAATAAAAAACTTAATTTTAATCTCTTGCTTTATACCTTAATTTATGATCGCACGTGTCACTGTCAGAGACAAGATCGTTTGTACATCAAACAGTATCTAATAATACACTTAATTTTTCTTTACTGATCTTCTAAGAGCCAATGATATCAGGATAAAATTTTAAAGTAATAATTTGAAAATATTAATTTTTTACAAATGTTCAACAATAATATTATTTCTAATAATATATAATTTCATTAATTTTTTGTGAATATGTGTATATTTTTACATAAACTTTATCATATAAAACAGAAAGACAAGATAATAGAAAAGTGGAGCTTTTAAGAGTTTGTAAATATAATTTTGTTAACAATTCAGAATAATTTTTTCCATGAATCCGATTCGTAATTTCGATTTGAAGTTATATAATTGTTGAATACTACTTTAATACATAATAATAATACATAATAATAATTAATTTAGCTTTTTATATTTCTTCTTTTCTTCTTTTCCCTTTGATTTCGCGCGTGGATTTCTTCGCGATTATCAAGGAACAATGGAAAGGAATGTCAGCAATGTAGGAGAGGAAGTCGATAGGTAGAAGAGCATTCTCGACGTATTTCTTCAACGACAAAATGGCGAATTCCGATATTGTACTGAAGAGAGGTCACTCGATGACCTAACTTTCTTGGCATTGTTCGACTGTAACTGAAGCGTGAAATAGTTCGTGCCGGGAAATGCCGCGAATCATTTTGTATGCGAATCCACTTGTATGCTTGCAATATGCGTCAGTTCAATCAGTTCTCAGTCAAATCGATTAATTCAAAAATACATGCAAAGGAATATCGATTAATCGAGTTAATAAAAAAAAATATTTAAATCCGAATTATTACATAGATAATAATGAACAAAAAATTGTGGTTTTAAATTCAAATGTTGAGTTTAAAATTGAAATAGTCATACTTTGCTATTCTGATTTTACGCTTTTAATTATATAAATTCTAGAGACCTAATTAGAGTCAAGAAACAGCCACTTTAATCAATCCGCATATTTTAGCAATTATTGGGAGAGAGAGAGAGAGAGAGAGAGAGAGAGAGAGAGAGAGAGAGAGAGAGAGAGAAGAAAAAGATCAAATCAGAAAAAAGAATAATAAATATATGTCTTTCTTTTTCGCGTTTGATAAAACTAGAAATCCTGCATACGAAATGCAGCTTATGTCCATTTTAATTAGACTTTAATTGGAATGTCTCTATGGTAGATTTGATATTATATGAACTTGGAAAAAAAATTTTAAACATACGCAAATTACAAAAATATTTGTATAAAAATGGTTCTCATTCTAGTGTTTTCGCTTTTAATTAAAACATAATAATCCATGACTTAATGGTTTCTTTCAATTCTCATGCAACTATGAGATACATGTTTATAAAAATCAATGATACAAATTACGAGTTTCGCGAGAAAAATGGGACGATTTTTGTAATTTCTAGGAAATCGCAGATCCTTTAATGGATTTGAAACAGGGTATGGAGACCTTACGAATGAATAAAACGTTCCGTGGGATTCTAAGCACACTTCTTTCGATCGGGATATTCCTCAACGGAAATGAGGTAGGTATTGAATGCCAGCCAAATGATATCCACTTAATTCGTCTGTCCCGAGATTGTAACAATTCAAAACCTGATAATATCGATTTCTAACTACTAGTTGGATAGGATATCTTTCATATTACTTGACTGACAGCCACATTTTTTCAAAAACAATCTCGATTTAATACGGAGTTTTGCTACAATCACGGTCCGCTATTTATCCTCGGAATTTTCGGAAGTTTTGATGGAATATCCACTGTATTAAAAAAGTTCTATTCTAATGTATTTTTCAACAACTAGATTTGCATCAGATTAATTTTCGAGCAACGCAATTATTTCATAGAAATTTCTCTATCGTATAACATAAAAAATCTATAAATAAATCTAAATATTTACGAGCGTTAAAATGAGACGCGCTATTTTTCGGAACGTCGTGTCACGACGTGAAGACTTCATCCTTTTTCAGGTGAAGGGCTTTCAACTAGAATACCTCGTCAAAGTACCTGAAGTGAAGGATACGGTTCACAAACACTCGTTGCTTCATCATCTTTGCCACATGGTGATGGAGAAGTTTCCGGATTCTACAGACCTCTATTCCGAGGTAAGAATATCAATTAGTACGATCAAAACTAGAGAGAACTTTGCTTTGTCGTGATATCGCGATTGTACTATTGTATATTTATGAAATGGAGACTGAGACGTTTCAGAGAGCTCTCTGAAATTTTTTTGTTTTTACGATTTTATTTTATTCTATCACACAATCGGTTTTCTTCTCCATATTTTGTTGAATTTTTGGATACATGATATTAAAGATTAATGTAATGAAACTTTAAAAAAAATAGATTAAAAGATAAAAATTGGATTAAAATAGAAACAATATGTTGCAATTATAATTTTCATATAATTTTTTGAATACAACATTTTAATTACATAAATATACGATTCATTTGATTTAAAACGATTTTTATTGAAGAAATAAAAATAAAATAAAGAAAGAAGTAAATACTTTTATGTATCTTTTTCAGATAAATTTTAAACTATGTTTCTTTTTGTATCTTTTTATATAGTTCTTGAAGACAATTGGAATAGTTTTCTCGACAATGCCAACGCGGTTTTGCTTTCAGATTGGTGCGGTAACGAGAGCTTCGAAAATCGATTTCGATGAGTTGGCGGCGAACATCGCGAAACTCGAGAGCGAGTGCAAAGCGTCTTGGGACCATCTCAAGCTCATTGCGAAGCACGATGGTTCTACGATGATGAAGGTCAAGTGAGTATAATTCCTGCCGAGTTTCTTAGCTCCCGAACCAATTTTCGAGATTCTCTCTCTCGTTCTGCTTTCCTATGAGTCTTTCTAAGTGTTTGTGTTTAAGAAGTTTCAAGTGGCTTCGATAAATTCGGGATAGTTTTTTTTTTCAGCGAAACTGGCTGCTATCCAAGTGGAGCTTTCATTAATTACCGAACGAACATTTTCTCCTTCCATGAGTCTTTCCCTTCGTTCCTTCTGTAATCATTCACGCTACACTTGCATTCTCTCAATAAACTTATATTTTTTTATTTTTTATGATATTTTAATTAGTTTTTATTCTTTAAATGCTTTACGCTTTTCACGTATTTAAAAAAAATTAAATAAGTCAAAGATATTTTTTAGCAACAAGAATAACATGTATGCATACGATACATACTATATTTTTCTAGTCAATATTTTTTTATTGAATTATTTTATTAGTAAAAAATTGTTAAAAGTTTTATTTGATATATTTCACAGTTACTTGCTGAAACATATATTTTTCTAAAAAATACATTGTTTTATTTTTATAACGCAGGATGTCTGATTTCCTTGCTGATTGTGCTGAAAGGATAATCGTCTTAGGCATCGTTCACAGACGTATCATAAACCGTTTCCGCAAATTCATTTTGTGGTTGGGTATACCACTGCACAGGATACAAGACACAAAACCAAACGAGTTTTGTAGGATTGTGTCCGAATTTGCTCTGGAGTACAGAACCACTAGGGAACGAGTGATACAGCAGCTTGAAAAGAAAGCCAATCATCGAGAACGCAATAAGACCAGAGGGAAGATGATAACAGAGGTAAGTCATTTTTGTTTATATCTTTCGTTGAAAACCATCATAGCGAATTTCATCGACTAAAATATATTTATACTGAGTTGGATTAGCTTACATAATATTAATCGTAAATATTAATTAGCGTAGAGTGTTAAATTTTTTTCTCTTTGATTTTTATTCATTTGTTATTTTGTTATATTGATATTAGAATATAAAGTTGTTTTTTAAATTTCATTTATATTTGAATAAAGCTATTTAATTTCTTTTTACTTTTACAATATATTATTTTCATAAAATTTTTCATGTAACTTTTACAAGTTAAAATCTTGATGTTCTTATTACAGGTCGGTAAGTTTCGTACAAAAGAAGATCGAGCGGACGCGGAACTCAGACAACTACTTGGCAGTGACATTTCAGATGTCGAGAGTATCCACGGCACTTTACCATGGAGAAGACAGAAGAAAGACGGTAAGTTTTGTCAGATCTTTTTCATATGATTTTTTTGTACATGCTCCTAGATGTTTCTTCTTCTTCTGTTTTCTTGCGATTTCTTGCATTGGTTAATTTTATCTTTATTATAATAAATTTTATTTAGTAAATATGCAATAAACAATATCTTATATAATATCTGTATAATATCTCATTTTACACAATTCACAGTAATAAGCAATTCATGTTAAAAACGAATTGTTTAAAATGCACAGCATTGTTGCTGTAAAATTTTATGTTTTAATTTATGAATTAAGTAAGAATCACAAGTTGAGTGTTCTCATTTTCGCGATTGAACGAACGAGATATTATCACTTTAATATAACTGCGGTTTTCTAGCCTTGCTTTTAACTTGCGCGAAAATAACGCACTCTAAAGGACGACGGCTATGTCGGCTGTTCCACTGCGGATAAGAACAAAGTGCGAGAATTTCTCTTCATCTCCGTAATGTTCCAGCTCGGTGGTGGCAGCGACGCGCGCGAGATAAATGTCGCCCTTAAGCAGCGGCTCTTGCAGGCAAGATTTAAGGATAGCGCCGGGTCATTTGACGACATTACCGGAAAATGAGAAGTAAATGCGTTGCCGTCTTTATATGATTATACGATGCATTCGCGGACATACAGTTCTTCTCTCCTTCCTGCGTGTCCTTAGTCGAATGTGAAATTTACCGACTCGCATAAGTCACCATTCGTTATCTTTATTGCTTTTGCACGAGGATATTCGTACAAGTTTCTCTTTTATGCGACTCGGAATTTTCTTGCCCAAAATTCGCGATGATGTTCGAGATTGCGTATATCCACTATACCGTTAAGCCGTAAATGTAACTTGGCAGTAAGTAGCATTATCATTCAGTTGCGAAGCGTTAAGGTAGGATGCCTTCGACGGTGTTGCTTCATAAATTCGGTATTCATGAGAGAAAAATTTCAACTTGAGTAGAATTTTGTTTTACTCACTCTTTATTGCGCTTTACGCGCGCTACATAAGATGATAACTTTGCCTCAAGAGGGCAGAATGTAAAAGTAGTTAACTTCCAGAGGGAATATTCGAAGCGACGTGGATATTATTCGAGTCGGCGCGAAAAAGTATCGCGTAAATAACAGCCTCTAAGAAATTTATTCTTTGAATTTGTTCGAAAGAATTCTATTGGACTCGATGTTATAAGTTTTATCGTAACATTGTTCACAAACTTGTTATCTTTCGTAATTTTTTCTTGCCAATTTTCTTTTTCTATGAAAGTCTCTACGAACTGCTATTGTATTTATTTTTTATATGAATAAATATTCAATGAATAGAATTAGCGAGTCAATATTTTTTTACCTTAAGAAGAATATTTCAAATTGGTTTACTTTTAAAATTAATTACTTTAATTATTTAGATCTTCATAATTATTTGTAATAAGTATAATAATCAGAAAATTCAATTTAATTATTTGTTAAAGATCCACGTTACAATGATTACAGATTAAGATGATACAAAATTAATATGTTTATAAATAAATGTACTTTTACTTTGAAATTATTGGAAACTCTACTCATTCTGTAGTTAATTGAATATTTGAAATATTATGATTCTATTTCATTGCGATGAATACTATAATAAAATAATTTCATAGTAACACGAAAAGCTCTTTATTTAAAAAAACGAAGATTCATTGTTATTATATGTACAATCAAATCTACGGCAAAGCCGTATCTTGAAAAAAGATCTAGCAGAAACGACTGGCATATCCTGGATCTTGTAAGACTGATATTACGTTGTAACTGTGGATCATCTCTTTCTTGAGGAAACGTGGAATTTTTATTCCCGCTTTCGCGCAGAGGGGGATACGCGGAGGATTGGGCCAACTCAAGGAACCAAGTGGTTGGTGCCCATCCGGCTCGTAAACTCAACCACCCACGTGCGTTACCATGGCTGCGGCCATCATAACTTTTCTCTCTTTTATTCCCTTGTATGCCACGACATAAAGTATCTAAACGTCCCGTCTAAGTCGTGCTGGCGTTTTCAGTCGGATATGATAGCCCTCCAATTCCACAGCTGGAAAAGTCTCGCAAGTTGTACGACAAGGATCGTGGACGATACGCGATAATTTATTTTAACAATTTGCTGAGTAATATTAATATTATGAACACATTAGATACAATTAATCGTTATACGCAATTGTTAACTTTATTCTTGTTTCTTTCATTTTACTTCCATTTATAGCATTCTACTAAACAAGTTCTACTAAACAAAATTTAGTAACTAATTATTGCAAGAAGTATGAAATTTCTTGAACTTTTCTGAATAAAAATATTATAAATATTCATACTTTTTAAAAAAATTAACTTTTTTATATTTACAAAAAAAATGGATTGAACATTATTAAAAATTGTAAAAAAGTTTTTAAAGTAATATTAATGGTGACGAAACTTTTATTTTTCACAATTTTTTAAATAAAAATAGAGAGTTGTAATATTAAAAAATTGAAATAAATCAAAATAAATAATAAATATAAAACGGGAATATTACATTTACATAGCTATTCAATTATTAAACGCAACTTTATGATTGTATATTGTTTTGATCAAGTATATTTTAATAATTAACGTTAAGTAAAGTAATTATATAATTTCTTGACTTACTTTTAATCAGAAATTTATTGCATTATTCCTCAATTGTAATGAGTACGTTAAGTAGGACATATTATCAGAGCCTGCAGATCAGATTAACGAACAGGAAGCCATTTGAAAGCGTTTAACATTCCTTATGGTAGAGCAACCACGAAAATGAATTGTCTAGATTGATCTGCGGTCGTCAAAGAACGCGTAATTGGCGAGATTTAAAGATCTCTTCCTTCCTCTGTTCGTTTCATTCATGAAAATTCTATTACCACCCTCTCATCCTCTTTCTACTTCTCTTTTTTCACAGTCTTTGTATCGAGAGTGTATAGAACTGTATCTATGATAGCTTTTCTGGGACGAGTTTGAAAGAAGCTCTGGAAGAAATTCTGTGTATTTGACAGTTTCGAAGTTTCTAGCCCTGCGGACTAGATGTGGTGATTGTAAGAAATGAAATAGTGAGACGATGTGGAAGAAAAATCTTGTAGACACGATATTCTACAAAGGATTTCTTTACTTAGACATTGTCTTTACTTTGTACATTGTCTTTACTTTTCCTTTTTGAATATATTTTCCATGAATAAATAAAAAAATGTATCTTATAATTGTAGAAATTGTGCTCAGTTGAACATAATAATTGAAATCAGCATTAACAATTTGCATTGTCATCTAGCTTTTTTCTCTAAATAAATTTTTAGAAATAAATACAAATTTACTTTATAAATAGAAAAATTTTGTTCTTATAACAAATAATTGGATTATGAATTTAAATTTATTAATGATTTATACACGGAAAAAATTTTACATTAAATTTTAATACAATTTTAAATTACACTTTACTATGTCTTGTATTTTTGATAGATGATTTGATCATCACAACAATGATTCATAACTTTTATTATGGTAATACTAATCTTTATCACATAAATAAAGTAATTTTTGTTAAAGCCAGTGCTTAAGCCATATTCTAACATAAAACAATTAATTTTTACTATGATACGCAAACAAAATTTGCTAAGTATATATTTTTTACTTATCTTTGCAATACTAACTTTTATTCAACAACAAGTTTTGATTTTATAATAAAAAAATTTTATTCTGAAAAAGTGTAAAAATTACGTTGCATTATTATTAAAAAAAAAATAGCTATAATATTTAAACTTATGATTGTCATGATAGTCCGCAACTTCTACAACATAGTAATTTTAAATATAAAATTTTATCTAATTTGTTAATATGTGCAACGTATATTTATAAATAATACAGCTACGCAACTTGATTATTAATAATACAGAGATACGCTACTTTGAAAATAAAGCTATTACAAAAAAAATTTAGAATGTATTCATAGAGCAATAGAAGATATTATTATGTTCTAGGACGTATAATTTCACTGGGTCCGGTACTCAGGGATGAAAGCACCAATGGTAACTTAGCTGATGGCGTTGACGAATTATTGGAATCTCTGGTGAAAACCGCAACAAAAACGCCAGCCACTAGAACCACGCCACGTGAACGCAAGAGGACCAGACACGCCGATCGTAAGTCTTGTAAGTGTGATCCCAGCACCATGCACCCAGATTCTCCTTTCCTATCATTATCGATCGATCTTTGGTCGAGAAATTGATTATCAATCGATAATTTATTACATTCCTAAATTATAGCATATCTATGTATGGACACAACGTAAATATTTCATCGGGAAATTCGCCAATTTTTTAAATTACATTACGTAATTAATTAAAGAGCGACATTAAAGACTTTAAAAGAAGCAAATCATCAATCAAGATACATGTAATATTATTAATAAATGTAATCTACAATATTAAGGACTCTCGATAATTCTGCATAACAATAAAAAAAAGAAAAAAAAGCGGTGAAAATTAGTGTGTGGAATAATAACAAACTCTTCAATAATTTAATAAATTAGACAATATAATAAACTGGACATTTTAACTCACTTTTGAGCCCTTAATAGGTAATTAATAATAAATTTAAACTGGAGTAACTGCATCAAATTCGTATCTTTTCTTTGCATATTTTTTTGTGCATTATGCGCATTATCGTGGATGAGAAAAATTATATTAGTAAAAGTGATGATGTACCTGTTCTCATATGTTAATTTTTATTTTATGATAACTGAGTATTATTTTAATATCGTATAAAATAAATTAGAGAGAAGAAATGAAAAAAAGAGAGAAAGAGAAAAAGAAAGATAAAGGGAAGAAAAAAGAGTACATTTTGTTACATATAATGAAACAAAAATTTATAAGTAGCGTGAAAATTTGCCATTAAAGTTTTATTGGTAACAGAAGGTACTGGGCGTTAACCGCAGAATTTTCCAATAGCTTCTAACGCCACGAGAGTCTTGAATTATTCGATGTGAAGTATACATTATTGATAACCGTTGGTCCACAGATAGAACTATGAGGCTACCAAAGTCGATCGATAAACGAGAAGTTTGGAGCTGTCGGCGTCGACGCCCTAGATCGAACATGCGATCGTACGCGTGTCGTCGATTCTATCTTATACTTTCCATGCACTTTATTAGCATCACAGCTTATCTTTACTTTAATGCCCGTGCTCATTTATGCTATCTCAACTGCTATTATTACAACTGATCGAAATTTAATAATAATGTCTTATATACGATTTTATTGTTTGGGCTAAGATGATTCAGATGGTGCTTCAAAGCGTAGATGTAGAAATAACATAAAATTATAAATATAAATGATAATAACGTTTAATTATGACAATATATATAAAGCATATAATATGACGAGAAAAAAAATATTTATATTTAATATATATATATGTATATATATAT